GCTTTTCCAAGCCATTGGGGTATTGCAGTTCTTGGTAAGGGTTTTTTCCCGTTAATTTTTGTGTTTTTAATTTAAATTTGGTAGTTTTTAGTTGGGAGAATGCAATTTTGGTTGATTTGTTGAATTGGGTTTTGGAGTATGCAATTTGTACTGTTAAATTTCCATTTCCTGGAAGTGCTTTTGTAAAAATGAACTGAAGAATGGCGTGAAATTTGAAAAGTAGCAAAGCAGCTTCTGGATTTTGCTTCTGAGTTTTTCCACTTTTTGTTGCATCTTACCTGGAAATAATCACTACCAATCTTGTTTTCTTCCACTTTTCAATCATTTATTTTTGCAGAGATCATCACTGTGCATATTAGCTTTTAGCCTGTTAAGGGATTCTCAAAAGCATTTGGAAGTTGTTTGATCTGATAATTTTACCTTTCTGATAAATCATGTAAAGCACAAGACTTGTATATGCTTTTTAAGGCTTCATGCTGGCAAAACAAGGCAACTAGGCATTTTTTACTTTCCAAGCGGCACGAGGGGTTTGTTCTTCCGGTTTTCTTCACAAGCAATTTAGGCATTTTTTACTTCTTTTGATAGGTTTTGTTTCTCAAGTAAAGTACTTTTTCTCCAATTACTTCTGTTAATAGTTTTGATAGGTTAAGTTGTGAATAGGAAATACCATTGTAGCGGCAACTGCTATGGAATCATTGCTTATAACTTCCGTTCGAGAAAGATCTCGTTGACCATGCTAAATTTGGAACTGCCCTATTATCTGTCATCATCTCTTAGAGAATTTAAGATACTTGGTATATGTTTAGGGGTGGAGTTGTAATGAATCAAGAGGTGTTGTACTAAACAAGGAATTGGATCTCATTGTTTCATTTGCCAGTTTAAAAGATGGGATTTTGGGCTTTAAACAATTCATAAATCTGTACTGAAGTTTTCCAAGTAGGATATCGTATCCCTTTCTCACCCGGACCCTACCTCAAACTCTTCCGAATGCGTGAGAGTTTATGTTTTTTCACTTGCCTAAAGTTTAATTCAATGCTATTATATGGCTTTCTTGAAACTGTAGATTGGCATCTTTATTTCATGCCTTTTTTCTGACAAATACCTTGCTTTCCATTACATCAACTGCATGCATTTTGTTAAAAGAAAAGTTATGCAGAACACTAAACTTTTTAATGGGGGATGACAGGGTATTTTAATTGATACTTGTGGAATGTGACACAATTGGGGAAAAAGACTAATATTGATCCCAATCTGAGAGTACCGGGATTGACGTTTGAGGAAGAAACATGTCTCCTGGAGGTCGCTTCTTTGAGGATGTGGCCGAGTCTCATGTGGCATTTGCAGATTCTGATGTTGCAACTTCCACTGCTGATCTAAGGGCTTCTCCATTCAGAAAAGCGGCCCCTGGTTTGTTTGGAAATCCTGGAATGCCACCAAATAGTAATGTGCACGACCTACTCGAGTGTCCTGTTTGCATGAATTTAATGTGTCCTCCAATTCATCAGGTATGTTTTAGTACTTGTTTAAATTTGAATGATCATGAGGATTCACGTCTTTTTTGTTAATATCAATACGTATTTTCGTTTTGGTAGAAAGTGAAGATAAGTCGTGAAATTGATGCTAATAGGGTTTGAAGCATCTGGTATTACTATAAAGTTACACACATGAAATTTAAAATTCATTGTGCCGCCACAACTATATACAACTCAGAAAATATTCACAAAGTTGTCAATCTTAAAAATGATCTCCAAAACTGGATTTCTTAAGAAATGCTTACTCATCAAATATGAAGGATCAATTGAGAAATACCGTCACACAACATCTAGCATGATGATTATATGCACACCAACCTATTTTGTACATCAATTTCAGATTGGATTGCATGCATACAGGTCTAATATACATATTCTAAGTTGTAATTTTATCAAAATGAGAACTTATTGAAGCTTATATTGTAGTGTCCAAATGGCCATACTCTCTGCTCGAGCTGTAAGGTTAGAGTGCACAACTGTTGCCCCACTTGCCGGAATGAACTTGGAAATATAAGGTGCTTGGCACTGGAGAAAGTAGCAGAGTCGCTGGATCTTCCTTGTAGACACCAAATTTATGGTTGCCAAGATATATTCCCATACTACAGCAAGCTGAAGCACGAGAAAACCTGTAAATATCGCCCGTACAGCTGCCCTTATGCTGGAGCTGAATGTTCTGTCACTGGAGATATCCAATTCCTTATGATGCATCTTAAAAATGATCACAAGGTCGACATGCATGACGGGAGTACTTTCAACCATAGATATGTCAAATCCAATCCCCAAGAAGTTGAAAATGCTACATGGATGTTGACAGTATGTTTCTCTCTCCCTCTCTCTCTCTCTCTCTCTCTCTATATATATATATATATATATCCTACACGGTACAGACACACACGAATTGCGTTTCTATACCCTGTTAATAAGATTGCATCTTTTAAGCACTACACTCGATCCAGTTTTTGTTTTTGGTTATCTGTCAAAGTGCCTTCATTGATTGCAGTGTGGGAAATTCAACTGTTTAATTAAAAGCTACCCCTTTGTGGGAAATTCATGGGGCCAATGTTGGGACCATCAAAAGACCTACTGAGACAGCTTACTTTGTAGTTCCAGGCTTTCTTAATCCCTAATTGCTGACTTTCGTGTTTTTCTTTCTCTATGACTTCTCCGTTTCACTTCTTTAATTCTGAGTAGAAATAGGGGTAAAAACTTTGCAGTCTTAGAAATATCTTTGAAATGGCTGCCTAATCCATAGTCAAATTTCATTCCCTTTCGCCCTTATCGGCAAACTTTGATCCTATTTGTTTGATTGTTTCCCTTTCCTCAGTAACTGGTTATGCATCCTGTTCATATATACACTAGTAGGCAACAATATCTCTTTTCAGTTTTACATGAACGTCATCCGGTTCTTTTGTGTAAGTATATATCTTGAAGTTTTTAAGACATCTTTCCGTAAAGGTCGTACCCAGTGCACAAGGCTCCCGCTTTACGTCGGGTCTGGGAGAGGTGAATGTCGGCTAGCCTTACCCCCATTTATGGAGAGGCTGTTCCCAAGTCTCGAACCCGAGACCTACCGCTCATGGGCGAAGGCACTTGCCATCGCACCAAGTGCGACCTCTACCAAGTGCGACATCTTTCCGTATTAAAAAAAAAATTAAAAATATCTTTTATGTTCTTGTTTAGCACTGAACAGTAACACAAATCGGTCTTCTCATATTTGGTTCCGTTCAACCTCCACCAATGTATTCAAACCCCTCTTTGATTTTGAATGTAGTGCAGATTTTCAACTGTTTTGGCCGTCAGTTTTGCTTGCATTTTGAGGCTTTCCACATTGGAACTGCACCTGTTTACATGGCCTTCCTAAGGTTTATGGGTGACGATGATGAGGCGAAGCAATTCACTTATAGTCTTGAAGTTAGTGGCAGTGGCAGAAAGCTTACATGGCAAGGAATTCCCCGGAGTATCCGAGATAGCCACCGAAAGGTCCGTGACAGTCAAGACGGATTAATCATTCAGAGAAACCTAGCACTCTTCTTCTCGGGTGGCAATAGGCAGGAGTTGAAGCTGAAAGTCGCCGGACGTATATGGAAAGAACACTGAGATATAAAAACTGGAAAACCTGTTCAAAGATATTGTAACCTTGTTACTGTGAAAAATAAAAGGTTGGAAGGAATTGACGGAGCTCTATGTGAAAGGCTGGATATGTATGTTGCTTGATCAAATTAATTTAAGATCTCTTTTGCTGAGTCTTGATATGAATCTCCTGTGTTTTGTCAGCTGCGCATATAATGCAACAGACTTGTAGCTCAAGTTGTTAAGAGTATGTACTGTTGACACACGACACACGACATTCTGTGTTCGATTCCTCCCTTATCGTATCGCTTCTTACACCAGAATCTAGAAAGTTCCTTTGATCAAGTAACAAAAAAGGCAGGGATTTCATTCAGATAAGTTTTAACCGAGTCATGGTCTAAAGTATATTTCCGTATCCAATGCATGCAGATAAGTCTTGATGAACGTGGAAAAAGATAAGTCTTGATTAACGTGGAAAAAGAAACTTTACTTGAGTCACGGTCCAAGTATATTTCCATATCACTATCTCATCGGCCGTCGCAGTATAGTGTCCATGACTATCTAGAACGATTATCGACTATTAATGTATGTAAAAGATTTGTCGGTAAAAATTATCTTTTTAAACATAATATACATTTGACTTAATCGTTTAACGATTCATTTTGACCTCCCGACTGCACGCCCGAAATACCGCACCAATATATTTTGGTTGCCCACTCCTGTATACACAGGCTCGAACACAAGAATTTCTCCATACCTAACTCATTCGCACAAAGAACACCAACGTAAGAAGTCTTACATCAGTAAGTGGGCTTGTATAATCCTAGAGCGCTACCTCACCAACTTTTTTTGTTAGTTCCAAGTACTGATCCATGTCTTTTCTAATATTTTTTTTTCAAGTCTTAATGTCTTTTGGCATGAGCCCCTATCTGTTAACAATATTTTCTAATTGGAGCTCTGCAGTAAGTTTTTGGATCATATGTTCAAATCAACTAAATCGATTTTTTTTCATTTTATCTTTAATTACGATTATTCATAATTTACCTTGTTCTTAATCTTGTCATTTCACACATCCACCAAAATATTCTCGTATGTTACGCTCATTTTTTGCATGTGAACCTAGCCCCTCCCCATTAAGGAAAAATTTGTACGACAAACTAGAAGAAGTACAAAGAAAATCTTACCTTCCAATTACAAGCTTTGATTTCTCAACCGTGTGGTTTGATGAAATACCAAAGCCCAAAATCCGAAGTGGCACTTTACCATGTTGAGCCTTTAAATAACAACGGTGTGAGTTCGAATTCCGTCAATTGTTAATCTAATATTTAATTTAACAAATTTACAGTTAAAAATATAAAAAAATCCACCGCCTCGGACACAAAACTCGGTGGTGACCTCCTCCGCCTAAACCCTAAACCTTACAAACTTCTCTCTCTTCTCTCTCTCTTCTCTCTCTCCTCCATCCCAAAATCAAAGAAAGAAATGCTACTGATAGCTCGAACTCACTCTCTCTCTAAGCTCAAACCCCTCCTTTCTCTCTCTCTCCTCGCCCAATCCTTCCCATCCCAAACCCCACTTTCAAATTTCACTTCAATCCTAAAACCCCATTTCCCAAGCCCCACAAATTCTCAACCTTTACCATTCTCCGCCATTTTCTTCAACCCATTTTCTTCGTCTCAATCTTTGCCCTTGGACCGCGAAGGAAATTACGATGAAACCACCACCGCAGCTCGCCATGTCTGCCGTGGGTGTGGGGTTCAAATGCAGGATTCCGACCCCAAACACCCGGGATTCTTCCTCAAGCCCTCGAAAAAGGATCCGAGGGCGTATCGATTGGGGACCCATCTCGAGCACGTTGGGCAAGTGCCGGAATTCAACGATTCCCTCAAAAGGGGTCTAATAATCGACCCCGAAAACTTGAGTTCCGAGGTCGATTTGGTGGGAGTCAAGGGCGAAAAGCCGGTGGTCTGCGCACGGTGTCACTCTCTGAGGCATTACGGGAAGGTGAAGGATCCGACGGTGGAGAACTTGCTACCGGATTTCGATTTTGATCATACCGTTGGGAGGAAGTTGGCTTTGACGTCTGGGACCCGATCGGTTGTGCTAATGGTGGTGGATGCTGCAGACTTTGATGGGTCATTTCCGAAAAAGGTTGCCAAGTTGGTTTCGGATACAATCGAGGAGCATTCCACAGCTTGGAAACAGGGGAAGTCAGGGAATGTGCCGAGAGTGGTGCTTGTAGTGACAAAGATTGATCTTTTGCCAAGTTCGTTGTCGCCCACGAGGTTAGAGCATTGGGTTAGGACTAGAGCAAGGGAGGGCGGAGCAAGTAAGATAACGAGTGTACATTTGGTGAGTTCTGTAAGGGATTGGGGGTTGAAGAATCTTGTTGATGATGTTGCTAGCTTGGCAGGACCAAGAGGGAACGTGTGGGCAATAGGGGCACAGAATGCCGGGAAGAGTACGCTGATAAACGCAATAGGGAAGCATGTTGGAGGGAAGATTACACATCTGACAGAAGCGCCTGTGCCCGGAACAACATTGGGAATTGTTAGAGTGGAAGGTGTTCTTCCTGGTCATACCAAGTTGTTTGATACTCCCGGGCTTTTGAATCCTCATCAGATTACAACTAGGTTGACAAGAGAGGAACAGAGTCTTGTAAACATTAGCAAGGAATTGAAGCCAAGGACATACAGAATCAAGGTAAGCTTACTTGAGCATCAAGTACCTTACAGTGATTTTTGTGTATTTGGTTATTAGAAACCTTTGAATAAACTGTGCTGTAGTACTCATTGTAAACTCGCAGTAATGTGTTTCTACCAGTGCAAATAATTCATTAACACAAACCATGTTTATAGATTGTATCTAAAAGCTCAAGTTTTTGTTTGTATTGCTAAGCACCCATCGCTTCAATTGTTTAAGTATGATTCCTTTTTCTGTTTTGCTGGTCGAGGAAAACTCAAGAGGTGTCTTCAATTGTTTAAGTATTGGATGTTCATTTACCACTGACTAGTACTTAACTTTTGCTTCTGATTGTGTGTGTGTGTGTGTAAAGCTCTGCTTTGCTACTTTTTGGATTCTGTTAAAATGCATAGTTCATTGTCAATCTCAGAATATCGTTGTTGCAAAATTATATTCCATGTGATTACTTAATATTTTTTCCATTTATCATAGCTCATTTTTCTTGTCCTTTGGTTGTTACAGGATGGCTATTCAGTTCATATTGCTGGGCTTATGAGGCTGGATATAGAAGAATCATCAGTAGATTCTGTTTATGTTACGACATGGGCATCTCCTTATCTTCCGCTACACATGGGAAAAACCGAAAATGCCTGCACAATGGTAGAGGAACATTTTGGTCGTCAATTACAGGTATTAGCACTAGGTGACGAGTGATAATTCAACAAATTCTTGGTTTCTAGTCTAGTAGTCATTAGTCTTATTGATTTTCAACATGTTACCGTTGGAGAGATTTGAATTCACAAATACCAATAAGCACAACACACACACACACACATATATATGTATATGTATATATGTAATACCAGTCTGTTTGCTGATTCTTTTTAATTTCTAAATTCAGGGTATAATTTTTCAGTTTCCTAAATAGTATAAATTTGTTGAGAATCAAGAGATTTGTGTAGGCTTCGGGCTTCCTAACGGCATTAAATCTTGCGCCTAGTTATGATGCTTGAAATTCCATCTTTAGATACGAGGCTATGATAAAAATGAGGTGTGCTCTCCACACACCCATTTTTACTTCTCACACACCCTTCTAATTTTGAGTCATCAGATCGGATAAATTGAAGAAGATCAAATGACATAAATTAACAAGGGGAGTGTGAGAAGTAAAAAGAGGTGTGTGGATAGCACACCCCTAAAGATATGCTTATCATTAAATCTTTCAAGGGAACGCATGATATGGTTGCATACATATATGTAGGTGTAGTTCTGATGCCAAAATGAACTTCCCATTGTTTCAGCCACCAATTGGAGAGAATAGAGTCAAGGAGCTTGGGCAGTGGGTGAGAAAGGAATTTCGAATCAGTGGAAACAGTTGGGATTCAAGTTCGGTGGATATTGCTGCTGCAGGTCTTGGTTGGTTTGCTGTTGGACTTAAAGGAGAGGCAGTTGTGAGTGTTTGGACGTACGATGGTATTGATGTTGTTCTTCGCAATGCATTGCTTCCTCATAGATCATACACTTTTGAAGTTGCTGGGTTTACCGTCTCTAAGATCGTTTCCAAGGCTGACCAAGCTTCAAATAAGCCACAACACAAAAGTGAGAAGAAGAGGAAACAAAGCAACCAGAAGGAATCTGTTGCGTGCTGATTTGGTACTTAATTCCTAACTTACCACCCGAAGCAGGCTCAACTTATTTTGACAACTGGAAGTGTTAGCGAGTAAAAGAGAAAGTTCTTATGGAAATGGAAAACCAGTGTTGTGGCAATTTACAGTTGATATACTACCGGTGAGGAATATTTCAGTAAGCAACGTCAACCTTTTCTAGGAATGAAAAGGGTAGGCATCTTCTTGAGCCACCGACGAAACTGTCGATTCTTTCTCCGACCATGGAAGGGGTGGATGTTCCATATTGGGATGATCTTTCTGCAGTATTGATATTTAAGAATGACAACTCAAAGGCGGCGTTTCTTTTACAGGCCTCAGAACTACGGTGAAAGACGCAAAGGCTTTTGTGACTCACAAGTGCATGAGCCTTGTGTTGAATTTCTTATTCATTATTCTTCTCTCTGTAAATTGCAAGTCTGAAGAGCTGAGTTTAATCAGTTTACAGCTGTCTGGTATGAAGCTTTGTCATGATTTTGTACTGGCTTTTCATAATTTTGGCAAAATGGCCAAAATTTAATGACTTGGGCTAGTTTGGTATTGCTGAGCTTTGAAAAAAAACTGTTTTTGCTGTGCTGTGAAAATAAGCTCATTTTTGCTGCTTCACGTTTTCAACTTTTTTTCACCCAAAACTGTGAAAATAAGCTGTTTTTTAAGTATTTACCAAACATTTTTTTTATCTCAGTTTTTTTTTATATCAATTGTTTATAAAAGCACCTCAGTACCAAACCAGAACTTGAAGACGTACAGCTTGTTGGCATGAAACTTTTTGTATATTTCGTACTGTAATCCTCAAAATTATTTTCTTCTCCTTATTGCCTAATCAGAGGTCGCACTTGGTGCGATGACAAGTGCCTTCGTCTATGAGCGGTAGGTCTCGGGTTCGAGACTTGGGAGCAGCCTCTCCATAAATGGGGGTAAGGCTAGCCGACATTCACCTCTCCCAGATCCTGCTTAAAGCGGGAGCCTTGTGCACTGGGTACGACCTTTTTTTATTGCCTAATTGCAATAATAATTTCTTCTTAAGTTAAAACAAGCACAACTGTTTGCACAACTCAACACGAATACGTTCAGTTAGCTGACTTCGCATATTGACCTTATTTGCATGGATAATGCGCATAATTAAGGTTTAGCCTCAGTATATAATGTTCTTGCTGGGTTTTAGGTTCAGTCGCTCGCGCATCTGTGGGTTGATGTGTACAGTTGATGCTTCTTCCTAACACATCAACGACGCACAATCAATCATCACGAGCATAAGCGTTTCATAGTCACACAAATTGAACTTTCTTGAGCCGAATTTGTGAAACTACGAGATTAAATAACTTTCGCCTCAAAACGAAGCCCCTGCCGTGTTCACCTTCGCTTCGAAAGAAAATGAAACAAAACGAAATTAGCAGACAGAGACTCAAAATTTGCAGCCAAAATCTTTCTGCAAGCCATCAACTGAGAAGAAATCCTTCAAGATCTCCGGTGAGTGGTTTGCAACTTAAAAGAGGAGAAACTACGTTTTCGGAAATCACTTCCAACAAGAAACAGTAGTACTTACATAACTTTATGAATTGCAAAATACAACACTGGTACAACAACAACAACAACAAAGCCTTTTCCCACTAAGTGGGGTCGGCTATATGAATCCTAGAACGCCATTGCGCTCGGTTTTGTGTCATGTCCTCCGTTAGATCCAAGTACTCTAAGTCTTTTCTTAGAGTCTCTTCCAAAGTTTTCCTAGGTCTTCCTCTACCCCTTTGGCCCTGAACCTCTGTCCCGTAGTCACATCTTCGAACCGGAGCGTCAGTCGGCCTTCTTTGCACATGTCCAAATCATCGGAGCCGATTTTCTCTCATCTTTCCTACAATTTCGGCTACTCCTACTTTACCTCGGATATCCTCATTCCCAATCTTATCCTTTCTCGTGTGCCCACACATCCCACGAAGCATCCTCATCTCCGCTACACCCATTTTGTGTACGTGTTGATGCTTCACCGCCCAACATTCTGTGCCATACAACATCGCTGGCCTTATTGCCGTCCTATAAAATTTTTCCTTGAGCTTCAGTGGCCTACGACGGTCACACAACACGCCGGATGCACTCTTACACTTCATCCATCCAGCTCGTATTCTATGGTTGAGATCTCCATCTAATTCTCCGTTCTCTTGCAAGATAGGTCCTAGGTAGCGAAAACGGTTGCTTTTTGTGATCTTCGCTAGATTGCTCCGGTCATTAGTGTGGATAAGTATATATAAATGGATAGAGATAGGAAAGCAAACACAAGATGTACGTGGTTCACCCAGATTGGCTACGTCCACGGAATAGAAGAGTTCTCATTAATTGTGAAGGGTTTACACAAGTACATAGGTTCAAGCTCTCCTTTAGTGAGTACAAGTGAATGATTTAGTACAAATGACATTAGGAAATATTGTGGGAGAATGATCTCGTAATCACGAAACTTCTAAGTATCGGAGTGTGGTGTCGTCTTGACTTGCCTTATCTGTCTCATAGGTAGATGTGGCATCTTCTCTGGAAGTACTCTTCCTCCATCCAGGGGTGGTATCTTTAACTGGTGGAGATGCACAAGGTAATGTATCAATTTCACTTGAAGCTTACTTGTAGTTCTCAGGCTTGGTCAAGCGCGATACAAACCATGTAGTAGGAGTCCCCCAAGTCGCCGAGCTAGGGAGTCTGCTGAAAGAGGTGACAGACAAGGTAAGCAATCAGAGCTCCGACTGATTGTTCACCTTCTCCCCATCTTGCAGCAGCATGAAGGATAAAGAGAAGAAAAATGAGAAGAGATGATATGAGATACTTTTGCTTTTGAAGAAGTAACTTTCCACAGGCTTATTCTTGAACTGAGCTGGAGGGTTTTCTGGTTTCCTCCAGAGTATAAGGCCGACTGAAGAATTTGAGGGTCAAAACAAGTCCATCAAATCTAGAGTACGTTCCACCCTGCTGATATGGGATACTTTTGCTTTTGACAGAGTAATGGATGTATCGGCACGTGTGCTGTTACGCTTGTCTCCACATGCTTCCTTGTATCCTTCGCACTTGCCCTATCTGTTCCTCAAGCAGATGCGGAATCTTCCCTGGAAACATAAGATGTTGAAGATGAGTACTCGAGAGCAATGCCAGGTAAGTAATCAGGTAAGGGGTTCCAGGCAGTCAGTTCCTGGCTGGAAGCTTGATTCCAAGTGCTGACTGATTGCTCTCTTTCTCCTTGTCTTGCAGGTAAAAACAAGGCCAAAGGAAAAGACAGGGAAAAAGCATGATATGGGATACTCTTGCTTTTAACCCTGATGATATGAGATATTCTTGCTCTAGTATAGCTTGTTTGCAGGGGTATTATCGGGGGGAAAGAAAGCTGAAATATTTCGAAAGGCTTCGTTGGGAGTGCCCTCTCAGATATGATGAAGGGTTGAGCATTTTTGCAGGTCTGCCTGTCCGTTGGGGATGGAGGTCGACATATATAGGAGTTTCCCTAACAACAAGTAGTAATGCTATTCCTTTACCCTGCTTGGTCATAGCACGGTAGTGGGAGCTGCCAGTTTCACATGTTTTAACTCTGTCAGAGCACTTTGAAAAAGTGGTCTGTGGTATCTGGCTCTCGAGATTCGGAGAACGATGCCTCTTCGATTTTTGAGAAAGCAATCATGCTGGGGGTCTGGCTCTCGAGATTCGGAGAGCAGTGTCTCTTCGATTTTTGAGGAAGTAATCATGTTGGGAGTCTGGCTCTCGAGATTTGGAGGGCGGTGCCTCTTCGATTTTGGAGCAAGCAATCCTGTTGGGAGTGTTGTCTCGAATGTGAGTAAAGGTTGGGCATGTTTGCTAGTCTACCTTGCCACGAAGCACAAAGGTTGACACAGGGACTTTCCAATTATCCAGCAATGGTACTGTTCCTTTACCCTCTCTTCGCTTTTGAGAAAGTAGTCATGTTGAGAGTCTGGCTCTCGAGATTCGGAGGACGGTGCCTCTTCGATTTTGGAGCAAGCAATCTTGTTGGGAGTGTTTTCTCGAAAGTGAGTAAAGGTTGGGCATGTTTGCTAGTCTACCTTGCCACGAAGCACAGAGGTTGACACACAGGGACTTTCCAATTATCCAGCAGTGGTACTGTTCCTTTACCCTTGTGGGTAATAATATGGTAGCTAGACCTTCAAAATTTATGTGTCTAAACTTTGTTAGTGCTGTTTCTTTGCTATTCTTTTACCTTTCTTGGTCAGAGCGATGTAGTGGGAGCTGCAAGCTTCACGTGCTCAACTTTGGCAGAGAACTTTGGCAAAGTTATCTGTGGTACCCATGAGCTATTGTTGCGTGTGGGAAGTGGGTGATTGAACAGTAAGATTCATGTGCTTTCTACTTCACCAGAAGTCTTCGACAGAATGCCCATAATTTCTGCAAAGCTGAGTGTGCGTGTGACAGGTGCTGACAAGGCTAGAAAAGTAGGTGCCTCTTCGATTTCTGAGATCGGCCCTCGTGGTCTCTGAGCAGCCCAGCTTTTGAGAAAGCGAGCGCCTCTTCGATTGATTCGGAGAACGATGCCTCATCGATTTTTGAGAAAGCAATCATGCTGGGGGTCTGGCTCTCGAAGATTCGGGGAGCAGTGTCTCTTCGATTTTTGAGAAAGTAATCACGTTGGGAGTCTAGCTCTCGAGATTCGGAGGGCGGTGCCTCTTCGATTTTGGAGCCAGCAATCTTGTTGGGAGTGTTTTCTCGAATGTGAGTAAAGGTTGGGCATGTTTGCTAGTCTACCTTGCCACGAAGCACAGAGGTTGACACACAGGGACTTTCCAATTATCCAGCAATGGTACTGTTCCTTTACCCTCTCTTCGATTTTTAAGAAAGTAGTCATGTTGGGAGTCTGGCTCTCGAGATTCGGAGGACGGTGCCTCTTCGATTTTGGAGCAAGCAATCTTATTGGGAGTGTTTTCTCGAATGTGAGTAAAGGTTGGGCATGTTTGCTAGTCTACCTTGCCACGAAGCACAGAGGTTGACACACAGGGACTTTCCAATTATCCAGCAGTGGTACTGTTCCTTTACCCTTGTGGGTAATAATATGGTAGCTAGACCTTCAAAATTTATGGGTCTAAACTTTGTTAGTGCTGTTTCTTTGCTATTCTTTTACCCTTCTTGGTCAGAGCGATGTAGTGGGAGCTGCAAGCTTCACGTGCTCAACTTTGGCAGAGAACTTTGGCAAAGTTATCTGTGGTACCCATGAGCTATTGTTGCGTGTGGGAAGTGGGTGATTGAACAGTAAGATTCATGTGTTTTCTACTTCCTCAGAAGTCTTCGACAGAATGCCCATAATTTCCGCAAAGCTGAGTGTGCGTGTGACAGGTGCTGACAAGGCTGGAAAAGTAGGTGCCTCTTCGATTTTTGAGATCGGCCCTCGTGGTCTCTGGGAGCCCAGCTTTTGAGAAAGCGAGCGCCTCTTCGATTTCTGAGATCGGCCTTCGTGGTCTTTGAGCAGCCCAACTTTTGAGAAGCAAACGCCTCTTCGATTTCTGAGATCAACCCTCGTGATCTCTAAGCAGCCCAGCTTTTGAGAAAGCAAACGCCTCTTCGATTTCTGAGCAGGCGCCTCTTCGATTTCTGAAGCTCCGTCGAGTGCAGATTTTATATAGGGGCTGGCATTAAGTTCCAAAGCACACTTGAATCTCCACCAGTAGAAGCTTCATTCTTGCACTTCTAAGATCTTGATTTGTCCGACCTCTTCTCTCTTCAACACCTTTGAAAATGTCTGGCCCCTCCGACCGTCGTTTTGACTTGAACCTTGTTGAAGAGGCAGCCCCGCCTTCTCCAGACAACATATGGCGCCCATCCTTCGTCTCCCCTACTGGTCCTCTTACCGTTGGGGATTCCGTGATGAAGAATGATATGACCGCTGCGGTGGTGGCCAGGAACCTTCTCACTCCCAAAGATAACAGACTACTTTCCAAACGGTCTGATGAGTTAGCTGTTAAGGATTCGCTGGCTCTCAGTGTTCAGTGTGCAGGTTCTGTGTCTAATATGGCCCAACGCCTATTTGCTCGAACCCGCCAAGTTGAATCATTGGCGGCTGAAGTGATGAGTCTCAAACAGGAGATTAGAGGGCTCAAGCATGAGAATAAACAGTTGCACCGGCTCGCACATGACTATGCTACAAACATGAAGAGGAAGCTTGACCAGATGAAGGAAACTGATGGTCAGGTTTTACTTGATCATCAGAGATTTGTGGGTTTGTTCCAAAGGCATTTATTGCCTTCGTCTTCTGGGGCTGTACCGCGTAATGAAGCTCCAAATGATCAACCTCTGATGCCTCCTCCTTCTAGGGTTCTGTCCAGTACTGAGGCTCCAAATGATCCCCCTCCGGTGCCTTCTCTTTCTGGGGCTCTACCGACTGCTGAGACTTCTCCTAAGCAACCTTTGTGAAGGCTCCCTCTTGTTGTGTTTATTTTGACTCATGTATATGTACATATTTGTAGCTTATCGGGGATATCAATAAATAAGCTTTCCTTCATTTCAACGTATTGTGTTAAATACACCAAAGCCTTCTTCGCTAAGTTCTTTGAATTTTCTTTTGTTGAAGCTTGTATGTTGAAGCTTTCTGAGTGGAGCATGTAGGTTGGGGTAGTGTTCCCTTAATTTCCCGAGTGAGGAAAACTTCTCGGTTGGAGACTTGGAAAATCCAAGTCACTGAGTGGGATCGGCTATATGAATCTTAGAACGCCATTGTGCTCGATCCTGTGTCATGTCCTTCGTTAGATCCAAGTACTCTAAGTCTTTTCTTAGAGTCTCTTCCAAAGTTTTCCTAGGTCTTCCTCTACCCCTTCGGCCCTGAACCTCTGTCCCATAGTCGCATCTTCTAATCGGAGCGTCAGTAGGCCTTCTTTGCACATGTCCAAACCACCGTAACCGATTTTCTCTCATCTTTCCTTCAATTTCGGCTACTCCTACTTTACCCCGGATATCCTCATTCCTAATCTTATCCTTTCTCGTGTGCCCACACATCCAACGAAGCATCCTCATCTCCGCTACACCCATTTTGTGTACGTGTTGATGTTTCACCGCCCAACATTCTGTGCCATACAGCATCGCCGGCCTTATTGCCGTCCTATAAAATTTTCCCTTGAGCTTCAATGGCATACGGCGGTCACACAACACGCCGGATGCACTCTTCCACTTCATCCATCCAGCTTGTATTCTATGGTTGAGATCTCCATCTAATTCTCCGTTCTTTTGCAAGATAGATCCTAGGTAACGAAAACGGTCGCTCTTTGGTATTTCTTGATCTCCGATCCTCACCCCTAACTCGTTTTGGCCTCCATTTGCACTGAACTTGCACTCCATATATTCTGTCTTTGATCGGCTTAGGCGAAGACCTTTAGATTCCAACACTTCTCTCCAAAGGTTAAGCTTTGCATTTACCCCTTCCTGAGTTTCATCTATCAACACAACACTATATCGTCTGCGAAAAGCATACACCAAGGAATATCATCTTGAATATGTCCTGTTAACTCATCCATTACCAACGCAAAAAGGTAAGGACTTAAGGATGAGCCTTGATGTAATCCTACAGTTATGGGAAAGCTTTCGGTTTGTCCTTCATGAGTTCTTACGGCAGTCTTTGCTCCTTCATACATATCCTTTATAGCTTGGATATATGCTACTCGTACTCCTTTCTTCTCTAAAATCCTCCAAAGAATGTCTCTTGGGACCCTATCATACGCTTTTTCCAAATCTATAAAGACCATGTGTAAATCCTTTTTCCCATCTCTATATCTTTCCATCAATCTTCGTAAGAGATAGATTGCCTCCATGGTTGAGCGCCCTGGCATGAACCCGAATTGGTTGTCCGAAACCCGTGTCTCTTACCTCAATCTATGCTCAATGACTCTCTCCCAGAGCTTCATTGTATGACTCATTAGCTTAATACCCCTATAGTTCATGCAATTTTGTACGTCGCCCTTATTCTTGTAGATAGGCACCAAAGTGCTCGTTCGCCACTCATTTGGCATCTTCTTCGTTTTCAAAATCCTATTGAAAAGGTCAGTGAGCCATGTTATACCTGTCTCTCCCAAAAGTTTCCACACTTCGATTGGTATATTGTCTGGTCCTATTGCTTTTTTATGCTTCATCTTCTTCAAAGCTACAACCACTTCTTCCTTCCGGATTCGACGATAAAAAGAGTAGTTTCTACACTCTTCTGAGTTACTCAACTCCCCTAAAGAATCACTCATTTCATGTCCTTCATTGAAAAGATTATGAAAAATAACCTCTCCATCTGTCTTTAACCGCGTTCTCTGTAGCAAGAACCTTTCCATCCTCATCCTTGATGCACCTCACTTGGTTTAGGTCCCTTGTCTTCTTTTCCCTTGCTCTAGATAGTTTATAGATATCCAACTCTCCTTCTTTGGTATCTAGTCGTTTATACATATCGTCGTAAGCCGCTAACTTAGCTTCTCTGACAGCTTTTTTCGCCTCTTGCTTCGCTTTTCTATACCTTTCACCATTTTCATCGGTCCTCTCCTTGTATAAGGCTTTACAACATTCATTCTTAGCCTTCACCTTTGTTTGTACCTCCTCATTCCACCACCAAGATTCCTTTTGGTGTGGGGCAAAGCCCTTGGACTCTCCTAATACCTCTTTTGCTACTTTTCGGATACAACTAGCCATGGAATCCCACATTTGGCTAGCTTCCCCCTCTCTATCCCACACACATTGGGTGATTACCTTCTCTTTGAAAATGACTTGTTGTTTTTCTTCTTTTAGATTCCACCATCTAGTCCTTGGGCACTTCCAAGTCTTGTTCTTTTGTCTTACTCTTTTGATATGTACATCCATCACCAACAAGCGATGTTGATTAGCCACGCTCTCTCCTGGTATAACTTTGCAATCCTTACAAGTTATACGATCCCCTTTCCTCATTAGAAGAAAATCTATTTGTGTTTTTGACGACCCACTCTTGTAGGTGATCACATGTTCTTCTCTCTTCTTAAAGAAGGTGTTGGCTAAGAAGAGATCATATGCCATTGCAAAATCCAAGATAGCTTCCCCATCCTCGTTTCTCTCCCCAAAACCATGGCCACCATGAAAACCTCCATAGTTGCCTGTCTCCCTGCCCACGTGTCCATTTAAATCTCCTCCTATAAATAACTTCTCCGTCTGAGCAATTCCTTGCACCAAGTCTCCAAGATCTTCCCAAAATTTCTCCTTCGAACTCGTATCCAACCCTACTTGAGGTGCGTACGCACTAATCACATTGATAAGTTCTTGTCCTATTACAATCTTGATTGCCATGATTCTATCTCCTACCCTCTTGACATCTACAACATCTTGTACCAAGGTCTTGTCCACGATGATGCCAACACCGTTTCTCGTTCTATTTGTGCCCGAATACCAAAGTTTAAACCCTGAGTTTTCTAGATCCTTTGCCTTACTACCAACCCACTTAGTTTCTTGTAGGCACATAATATTTATCCTTCTCCTCACCATAACTTCCACTACTTCCATAGATTTTCCCGTTAAGGTTCCTATATTCCACGTTCCTAAACGCATTTTGCTCTCTTGAACTCTACCCTTCTGTCCTAGCTTCTTCACCCTCCCCCGTCTAATAGGATCAAAGAAGATAAATAGTACATACTAGTAGCATGCACTGAAACAAAAGGAACACAATTTTCCAGCCAAGCTACTGTAAACTCGGACTGTACCAACTCACTCCCCAAGTGAATTCAGTTTCAATACTATCATAAAATTTTTTGGATCTTCCAAATTTCCGGCCATCTAAGTAGAAAGGATGAGAAAAATCACACATGGTGGTTCTACTATGTCCAGAATTCTCAACACAAAACATGTCGTCGTGGTCAATTCCTCCTAACTCCACAAAATAAATGCAGTTTGCTTCCGACCCGTTGGAATTACTCACTGGAAAGGAAAAGGAACAGCCTCGGCTTGTTACAAATAATATTTGATTCCCCAAACTCTGTACCTCGATAAAGCTTTCACCATTCTCCGGATCGATCTTGTAAACTAGAAAATCATGAGTCCTTGTCCAGGTATTCAAATCGGTTTTCATTTGATCCTTTATTTGACGGATCAACAAGACTTCGTTGCTGGTTGTTGATTCTATCAAATATGACTCGTCTTTGACCTTGACATCCAAAAAGTCACCTTCACCCCAGCAGTTGAATGAACCCTTTCGTGATTTTTCTTTGTCATAAACCAACTTCAATTCCAGCTCATCACCATCTCCGAGGCATAATGTGCGAGTTACAACGTGTCCAGACTTACTGTTTTTGACAGTGTTTTCGACTAAGACATATAGCATGCCACAAGACGAAAACAGTAGGCATGAAGGACACGTTTTTCTATCCCACATCCGAGATATTTTCCAACCTTTTTTTGGCCTGCACACACCAATTTCCCCAGAAGAAAAAATTGCTGCCACCGTACATTCTGATAGATTTGAACTCGATAGTGCAATTTTGTCAACAAATCGGTCGGCTTTTCCACCAAATTTCTTGAAATATGGGATTCTTCTCAAGGAAGGAAGTTCGTGTTTGGCTCCTGAAATAGGGTTTAGTAGAAATACTTCAGAGTGTTCTTCATTGACCATTATCAACCAACCTTTGGAGGAACTATGAAAGCACCCTTGATTTCGCTTAGGCAACCCTAGCTTGATGACTCTACCTTCAGGTGGGATGGAGAACTCTAAGTAACTGGAACTCGGTTGAGTTCCAAATAATAGCCAGGAAGCTGCTTCAGATGGGCCTACTAACCATGGGAATGGCGGAGCACTGCGGATAATTTGCATAACAATCATTCTCCAGGACTTGCAGAGGATGCTTAAGCGAATCCGATCAAGTAAGTCGAGGCGTTGTACGATATTCTCCATGATATCCAAAGGTGGTCTCTGCCAACGCCCATCTACAACTAACCATAGCCATGCCAATCGTTCAGTTCTAATCCATGAACAACAAAAACAATTCCAAAATTCAAAGTTTCAAAAGAAATAAAAAGAGCAATCGAATTACCTTCAACCTCGTTGACGCTGTTATTCTTCTTCTCCAAGCCCTGCATGCCGATCTCCTTCTCCTCGCCGACGTTGAGAACGGGGCACGCATCGTCGGGGAGAGCCAAGTCCTCGTTCGTCTCCTTCGGCGCCAGCATGTCTTAGTCCTCGTCTATTTTCTCGATAGCGCCAGATAATTCTGACGAGGATTATAGAACGAGTGGGTGAGGAAGACGAAGGTCCTATACATGGTGTGATTTTTGTGAGTTATAGGTTCCAGGTTTCATCCAACGGCCAGATTAATTAATGTTTTCCATGACGGCATGACCCAAAAATTTCGGATCAAACCCAAAAAACAAGAAAAAAAAAAATTCTATGACCCCACAATGAACCCTAATTCATTAGCTCCCAGAATCTAGTCATAAACCCTAATTCCAGCTTTTTATACCATATTTAGGTATCACCAAACCAATAGAGCAAGGGTTAACTCCACAGCTGGTCCACATGTAGGTCTATTACGGCCCGCGTTTCAGAGATCACATGATGTGCATGTGTGGTTTCCTTCTCTCTAGCATCACCTAGAAAGAAAACATAAATACATCTATCCTTAAAAAGGCACTCTAAAACCCTAAACCCCCGGCTCATGACACGCCTCGATTCTGATATTCACCAAATACCAGGATGGGCACGTGTTGGCCGACACCTGAGGGCGACGAAACCATTTTAATATGTATGCAAGTTATAAAGAAAGAACAAACATAAATAAAATATATAAATTTATAAATAATGACATGCAAATGCAGAAACATGTTCAGAGCATACGACTAATAAAAAATGCTACAAAAAGAATATTATAAAAAGATATGAACAAAGGAATGGGTCCTACACTGAGAGGACTCGAAGATACCGATGCGTGAGTGCTAAAGACGTTGGGATTGTAAGTCTCGTTTCTAAGTCTTCTAGGACGCTTAAAACAAAACGTGAGTGGACTAATAATAATAATAATAATAATAATAATAATAATAATAATAATAATAATAATGAGAAAACTGTTTTTCTTTCGAACATACTAACCCCCTGTTTTGAAAACACATATATTACTACATAGTAGGTTTTTTTGAAAACTCTAACATGCTATGAAAACGTTCGTATGATAAAATCATAACTTGAAGTGATATCAAAATCGCCCAAAGGCAAATCCATAAAAACTCGTAACTCAAAACACTAATGTACTCAAATAGGGGTATCATAGTCGCCCGAAGGCATATCCATCACTCGAGGGTGAAGCTGTACCACACTGGGTTACGTCACTAAAGAAATATGGTAGGCCCCATCATCTGAAGATGAAGCTGTATGACTCTGGGTTATGTCAGAGAAGAAAATGTACATAACACACTGACACTAGTCGTGGTTAGTGAAGCTGTTTGACACTAGTTTCACAAGTGAAACTGTGAGTATGTCATAAATATCTCACTTATCCTCAATTGTGTCCTATGACCATATACGTATACATACTCGTGTTGTGTATATGTATCGTATGAATACCCACTAATTAAGCACATAAAACATAATTCAAAATCTCATACCAAGCTTAGAATTCAAAACCTCATCATTCGAAATCATAAGCAATCCGATAACCATGGTTTCCATAAATACAAATTTTCATAAACTTTAAACTAATAACTCATGAATATCTCATAAAAGCATTTTAGATAAATCATAAGTTCTCCATAAATTAAAAGTCCAGAAATTTGTAAAAACATATGATAAAACATAAATAATTCATGAATGTAGAATTATGAAATCATACTTTCCGTGAATGCATACCTAATATTTTTATAAAAACATGCAATTTAAAAAGAGGCCCACTCACAAATATTCTGCTACCGGGGAGCTGATCGAACTAGGGAGGATGAGATCACTTCCAACCAATGCACCTACACACAAATAAGGACCATTTATTATAACTCTGTTAAATCGATCGAATTTGGAAAAACGGATGGCAGATTCGGATTCAGAACGTTGAAAAACCTAAGGAGGGATCTCGGGTTCCCCACGTGCCGCCACGAGGCGGCGGCCCTAGTCACCACGCACCACCCCACGATTTTCTGGAATTTTTTCCAGATTTTTCCTCCCAACTTCAAGAGCTGATTCTGAGCTCGATACAAGTCCAAATTGAGTGATTCAGAAGCCAAAATGTAGTTAGGAATGTGGAGAAGAGATTCATACCCTTAGAAGGCTCAACGAAGATTGGAGTTGGCTGGAAAAATGGTAGGAAGGTGGCCAAACGACCACGGTTTCAGTTTTCCAGAAATGAACAGTGACTTATCTTGTGTTTTCCGAGTTCCTACGCCAGCAAAACCACCCAAAAACTTACTAATCATGAACCTAGACACGATCTACAATGATAGGGACCAATTTCGAGGCTTACCTTGGCCGAAAATGGCAAGAATTCGCCGGAGAAGTTCCTTGTACAGTAACCGCACTGTGCAGCGCGGGGAGGGAGTTTTTAAATGATTTTTCTCCTCTTTTCTGGTTCAAGAACTCACAGGGATTACAAGGGAAGGTGGTGGTGCAGTCTGGTTGTTATTGTAGGTGTGCGGGTGTGTGTGTGTTCGGCAAAGAGAGGGAGAAAGGGTGAATGAGATGAGTGAGGGAGAGAAGAATGAGAGATTAAAAGAGAGGTACACGGGACAGAGAAGAAAACCACAGAAAATGAAGAATTTTTTAGTTGTAATGGAACACAAGTGGTATATCACATGTTTTAATAGGAGTGGTGACAAATTTAATTTCTAAGTTATTAACTTTTTAGCACACATATCCCACAATTTGTATAATGACATGTGATGCACCGGTCACATTAAAAAATCTTTCCAAAAAATGGTGGAGAACCTACCACGTGTCACCCCATGAGTGGTCCAAGATGGAGAAATATCTCCTAAAGTGAAATTACATAAATGTCTTTGACGTTCAAAAATTCGTAGAAACTTCGTTTTAACTCCGAATTCAATTTCGTTCGTGCTTACTCATTCGCATCGACAAGGGCTACATGAATAAATTAAAAGAATAATTCTTACATTTCATAGAGCGAGAGTCAACGGAAGTGAACGCTTTCATCGTTAGGGATATTTTCATAAATTTATCCACTTAGAACATAAAATTCAAGATGGATTGTTACAGCTCCTATTCGTTTTGATGATCTATACTCAACGTCTTCTACCTTTTCGAAAATTCTGCTGACAAGTGCGATGCAACATCCATTGTCTCTTTTATGACCAGAGGTGGCTACAGGTCTTGGTTATGCTTTTCTCCTAATTGCAGTTGTACTCTTGAACGACACCGTACTTTTGTTGCTAATCTTTTTGTTTGTCCGTCATCTGGTTGGTTGCTGTCGAAGAAAAGCCTTGTGCATAAATGGAGTAGTAGTTCCAGGCGGTGCCCTATTTGCTTGGAAGATTTTGTCGAAGGCGAGTCCTGTCGTGTTCTTGTGACGTGCAAGCGCACCTTCCATTTGATCTGCATCGATGGTTGGCTCAAATCTCAGCTAACGTGCCCTCATCGTCGTAATTTTGTCTGTACAACATAAGACTTGTTGATTAACTTTGAGGTTTTCGGTAACCACGATAGCTTCGCTGATCCATTCACGTGCTAGTCGAACTCAAGACATGCTTAGTCGCACCAAAACAAAGAGGGGCATTATATAGCGATGACTTGATCTTTGTTTGGTATAGGTTTGTTATGTCTATCGTCATTGTGACAGATTTATAATGGTGCATTTGTTTTGTGTGGTAGTGGTATAAGGGTTTAATACTCTTAGGTGTTTGTGTGAATTTACCTCCAAATCAAGATTTTGCTCACTAGAGTTTATGTACCTATGTTAGAACCGCTTGTAACTATTTGTTCATTGATGGAACCATGCTATCGATCGTTTTCTGATCAAATCTCATGCTCAAGGATAAATCTTGAAAAGGAACATTGGTTGTTCCATGTGTGGCAATAAGATGGGTGGTTTAAGGGCATTGGGGGCAATCTACGTATTAGCCAGTGATAATGTGATTGTTATTGTTATTTATTCACCTTTGTTGTATGGTATAATACCATTAGGCAAATACATTTTTCATGATTCTTTTAACACAATGATATATTTACATAAATAATGTGGGACTAAATTGGTTTCAAACTCGTGATTCACGAGATTTGAATCTTAAGATCCCTCACTTAAGTAAACATAAATTGATCATACATATGTGTAATGACTCACTGAGATAATATTTTTTTTGATATAAAATATATTCTACTTTAAACTAAATAAACTTTAAACAAAAATATCCAAATTCAAGTGCATTAAAAAGAATACATCCTCTCTATCCAAATTTAATAATTTGAATGAATGTATCACCGCTGCCGTGATAATATAGTATCACTCTGTAATTTCTCCCGGCGAAGAGGACTAAACTAAAGTCTGCATAGATTAGTCATAATAAGTCATGACTGTGGTCCCTGGCAACACACCAAGACTGTGAAATTCTAATCTAACGGCTCGGATTTCATCTCACCCAAAAGACCTCATGTGACAAACGTTATCCGGGTTATATTTCGGCTCCATCTGGCCCAGTGACCTCCTTAGCCCAGAATCATGGAGTCCCAGATCAGCGTTAAAAAGCGCACCCAATCCAAATGCTCCTCAGAACCCAATCTCTATCGCTCTTCATCTTCAACCAATCAACAACCGAAACCAGAGCGCATAAAACCCAAGCATTTCAGATCAAACCCACCAAGCAAGATTCGAAATTTGACTTTTTCGACGACCCCACGATGAGTTCTTCATCCAAAACGGCGAGGAAGCTGCAGGTGGCGTCGCCGGTGCCGGCGGACATCGACATTGCCACTCTGTCGAGCCTCTCCACATCTCTGAGATTGCAAAAGAGCTTCATCTCAGTCCCGATCACTATGATCTTTATGGAAAGTACAAGGCCAAGGTTGGTCATTTGATTCGTTTAGTTGCTAACTGGTTAGCGCTCGAGCATGTCTGTATATGTAATATGTTCATTTTCTTCATTGGTATGGAATTTTTTTTTGAAATTTGACTAATCTGGGTTTGTTGCCAAGGTTGGTCATTTTTTTGTTTTACTTATTAACCGATTAGCGCTCGAGTGCGTCTGTATGTGTAATATGTTCATTTTCTTCATTGGTATATAAACATTTTGAAATTTGATTACTTGGGTTTATTTGATGGGAGATACCAGGCCAAGTTTGGTCATTTGATTCGTTTACTTGCTACCTGGTTAGCGCTTGAGCGCTTCTGGATGCGTAATATGTTCATTGATTTGGAAGGATTTTGAATTTTGGATTTGCTGGGTTTGTTTTGTAGGTTTTGTTATCAGTGATTGATGAGCTGAAAGGATCTGGAGATGGGTATTATGTGGTGGTTGGAGGGATAACTCCTACCCCTCTTGGAGAAGGCAAGTCGACCACTACTGTTGGACTCTGTCAAGCTTTGGGTGCTTTTCAGGATAAGAAGGTGAAATTGTCTATTTGTTTTCTGTTTCAAAAGTTTTTTTTTTTTTTTTTTTTTTTTTTAATCGGTATCGAAAATTTTGGGCATACGTTGGTTTTCCCTTTTTTTCCTTTTATGGGCAGTTGATGTTGAACATTTAACTGAATAATCTAGAAATCTGAATTGAGTTTACCCCTCTTTCTTACGAAAATTCTCGAAACAAAAAGAATAAATTCAGAGGTTACATTGATTCTTGCTTTGTGTTATTGATTGCACTTGGTGTTGCTTGAACTTTTTATGCTGAGAAACTGAGGCTAAACGTTAAGGTTGGGGTGTTTAATTGATGAGGAATGCTCGTATGAAGGAAAGTGTCGCTGAGCAATACACTGACAAGCATTAAAAACAAGATTCGTTGTGATTGTTCTTTGTTATTATGATGTTTTATATGCGTTTTTAACTTTAAATTTAGTTCATTCTGTTTTCCCCTTGTTTCTGTGGGTAGAAGTTAAAAGTTTAGTGGTCTCTGACACAGTCTCTTCTGACCAAGATGTTATCAAGCTGTTTTGAGGCACGGGCCTTGGCCCCTAGTCCTGTTTACTGCATCTGAAGAGAATTTGTTTTATGAGGAAAAAACTAAACTTTTGGATAAGTTCGAACTTTAGCAGTTAATTTTCGACTTCGTTTTCAAAATGAAAAGCAAAGTATTTCAAGCTTGTCTTGTATTTGTCTACTTTGTTGTCAAGTTTTCTTGCAAGTATTGCAATTTATATGGAAGACTTAAAACCACAGTAGGTCCTGCAAAAGTAGACACATGCAGCTTTTCCGTATTACTTCTTGTTGCTAATGGAAATTTATATTAATTATGAAGACTTAGATAAATTTTATTTCACAGTTGACAGCTATATTTTTATGGTCCTGATCCTGTATTCTCTCCTTTGTGACAATAGGTTGTTACTTGCCTTCGTCAACCATCACAAGGACCAACATTTGGAATCAAAGGGGGTGCAGCAGGTGGTGGTTATAGTCAGGTGATCCCAATGGATGAGTTTAATCTTCACATGACAGGAGATATTCATGCAATAACAGCTGCAAACAATCTTCTGGCTGCTGCCATTGATACTCGGATTTTCCACGAGGCAACCCAATCAGATAAGGCTCTACTGAACCGGTTATGTCCACCAAACAAAGAAGGAAAACGGAGTTTCAATGACATCATGTTTAGACGTCTAAAGAAGCTTGGCATCTCCAAGACCACACCCGAGGAGCTTACACTGGAAGAAGTTAAGCAATTTGCTAGGCTTGATATTGACCCAGATTCTATCACTTGGAGAAGAGTAATGGATATAAATGATCGGTTCTTGAGGAAGATTTCAATTGGCCAAGGCCCTGATGAGAAAGGGATGGTAAGAGAAACAGGATTTGATATTTCAGTTGCCAGTGAAATAATGGCAGTTTTGGCCCTTACAACATCTCTAGCGGATATGAGGGAGAGGCTTGGGAAAATGGTGATTGGAAACAGCAGGGCTGGTGACCCTGTAACTGCTGATGATCTTGGTGTTGGAGGTGCATTAACAGTGCTAATGAAGGATGCTATTAACCCTACATTAATGCAGACTCTTGAGGGAACCCCAGTTCTTGTTCATGCTGGTCCTTTTGCAAACATTGCGCACGGGAATTCCTCTATTGTGGCCGATAAGATTGCACTGAAACTGGTAGGACCAGGTGGGTTTGTAGTCACAGAAGCTGGTTTTGGTGCTGATATTGGTACTGAGAAGTTCATGAACATAAAATGCAGATATAGTGGTTTAACACCACAATGTGCAGTTATAGTTGCAACTATAAGGGCCTTGAAAATGCATGGTGGGGGGCCTGATGTTGTTGCTGGGAAGCCTCTTAACAAGGCCTATGTAACTGAGGATGTGGCTTTGGTTGAGGCGGGTTGTGTGAATTTGGCCAAGCATATTTCAAACACAAAAGCCTATGGTGTGAATGTTGTTGTTGCTGTGAACAAGTTCTCGACTGATAGTGAAGCAGAACTAAATGCAGTCAGAAATGCAGCATTGGCTGCTGGGGCATATGATGCTGTTATTTGCACTCATCACGCCCATGGTGGAAAAGGAGCGGTTAGTCTCTTCATCCCATTAACTGATTAGTTTTCACTTCTCTTGTTTACCTGCTGCTGGATAGTACTCTTGGAAACTTCTGCTATAATCTCATATTTGTTCCAAGTATTCCATCGTGTGTGTAGCCTTCAACTGCGGTAAATGGTTGTCATAATAAATGAAGTTTACTGTGATCTGCAGGTGGACCTAGGAATTGCAGTTCAGAAAGCCTGCGAGAATGTTACACAACCACTGAAGTTTTTATATCCTCTGGAGTTTAGTATTAAAGAGAAAATAGAAGCAATAGCCAACTCATATGGCGCGAGCAGTGTTGAATACTCAGAGCAGGTAAGCTTACGTGCTATTATTCTTCAATTCAGTTGACACTATTTATTCAATCTCTCCTGCTCTCCGATTCATTCATGGATAGACAAGCATTTCCAATGCCAATGAATACAACTATTGCTCTTGTTTTTCTCATTAAAGAAAAGAAATATGTACTGTTTGCTGCGAACAGAACATCAACTTGATTCTTCTACAACCTTTGCAGGATAGACATTTTATTTTCTCTTTTCCCCTTTCTTTTGATACCACTGAAGCCAAAGTGTCCTAAACTTTAAACCAGCATAGAAGTTTACTCCACATGCTTATGCTTATTGATACGAGTTTCCTTATTTGTGTGAGTAGGCTGAGAAACAAATTGAGATGTACAGCAAGCAAGGGTTTTCTGTTCTGCCCATATGCATGGCGAAAACCCAGTATTCGTTTTCACATAATGCTTCTGAGAAAGGAGCTCCCACGGGATTCGTCTTACCAATAAGGGATGTAAGAGCTAGCATTGGAGCTGGATTCATCTATCCTTTGGTGGGAACAATGAGTACAATGCCAGGTCTTCCAACTCGTCCTTGCTTCTATGATATTGATCTTGACACCACAACCGGAAGGGTCATCGGTCTTTCTTAGATCGTTCTGCATTTGGCTCTCCATTTGCTCACCGAGGCAACTTACCTATACAGTTGTTCAAGCTTCTGTTGTTTGTGTTTTCTTGTTGTGCAAGTTTTCTGTATCACTAGTTATTGATTTTGCAAATAAAGAAATCTCTTGAGGTTAATAATTATCTTATTGTAATTTTACCCCGGATGAATAGCTTATTGTAGGGCAAGGGTTGTTTGAATACAACCACGCATTGTTGTTTCAATACGTAGTTCAATCTCGTGACAATTCATAATATTAGTAAGAAACACTTTGTTATGTGAAAAATTAAACTACGAAAAAAGAAACCCTGCATGTGTATTGCAATAAAACTACGAAACACTTTGGCCGAAGTGCTTTCATTTTTCAGAGCGGTGCTTTAAGTGCTTTTTAACTATAAAATGGTGTAGGAGTACTTTTGAATAACTCATAATACAAGCAATAAAGTTAAATTAGCGTGAAGCGTTATCATGCGTTAACTATAACGTAGTCATATATCAACCGAAAAAAACAGACAAACAGAAACGGTTGACTTTCCAAAAATAAAAAATAAATAACAAAAAGAGAACTCTCGAACTTGATCACTGCGTGCTTACATAAAAAAATAGCCAATATTACCTAATTAACCACAACGTTAACAGAAAAGTTGCAATAATTCTCACAACAATTGAATCAAACCAACTCCAAAACTCCGTTTGTCTTCTCGACCATCTCCTTCTCTCTATTTTGAGACAATTAGGGTTTGCAATTAAACCGGACTCACAGCATCCCTGTCCTCAGTTAGTTTTCATTGTAACTTACAGCACAAGTAATACCTTAACTGAAAACGAAACAATCCAAGTTATATAACAATGGCGGATTCTCGGTCAAATTCAATCAGGCATCATTTGCTTGCAAAACCAATATCAGAGTCAGTGACGGTGGTCTGTCCTCGGCCCTCAGTCGCACACATCTCAGTTAATCCTTTGAACATAACCATGAGCATCACAAGCCCGCCTTCCATGAAGCACTCATCACCTACGAAAGCAGAGCCGAAGGCCCCTTTGCTTTCAATCTTGTTCTCCAAAAGAAAATCCATGGCCTTCACTTATGTATTCATGTTTGCCTTCATTGCCTGCACTTTCTTTTTGGTTTTCAGCCCGTCTCGCCAAAACGGCCCTCTTCCTCTCCGCTTCAAGAACCTGCTTCATGCCTCCTTCTACTCTTCTTCTCAGAACCCTAATGCACATTTGGTGCTTTCTCGGAGAGACCCTTTTTCCGGGAAACCTAATTTTTCGCCACAGTTTTATGAGGTTGCAAGTTTGAAGGGTCATAAGGTGGATAAGCATGAGATTGGTCTCTCTCAATTTCCGGAGAAAAACGAAAGCTTGAAGGGAGATAATAACAATGCTCAATCATCCAACCCCATTCTTTTATTGTCCAACAACACGGAAATTGAATTTTCCGGGAAAATGGAGGGTTCCAGGAGAAGAAACGAGACCAAGAAGCATGCACATTCGAATTCTCCTTCTTCGAAAGATTCAAATGGAAAACGTGGCTCGAAGAAGAAAACTGATAGTAAAATGATGTCATCTAAGAAGCAAGGGAAACAAAGTGAGTTGAAGTCCAAGTTGACGAATGGCTGTGACATATTTGATGGAAGATGGGTGAGAGATGATTCGTACCCACTTTATGCTCCGGGGTCTTGTCCTTGGATCGATGAGCCTTTCGATTGTTTTCTGAATGGAAGGCCAGACAATGGATACGAGAGGTATAGATGGCAACCAAAACGTTGCAATATCCCAAGGTAATTAATTTGCGGACTTTTCTACTTATAATTGGAGTACGCTTTGTTCATACTATGTTTTATTTTCTTTTGCTTCTAAACCAAGGCAACCTCTAAGAGTGTTTATACTTCAAGTTGCTCTAAGTTCAAACTGATTTTCGTAATGGCGTGCATTTATATTGCATTTGCTACATTGGTTCTGTTAATAAAGCTTCTTGGTTTCGGTGTTGTGCAGGTTGAATGGTAAGAAGATGTTGAGATTGTTGACGGGGAAGCGTCTGGTTTTTGTTGGCGATTCTCTCAACAGGAATATGTGGGAGTCTTTGCTATGTGTTCTTAGAAACTCAGTGGATGATAAGAACAAAGTCTATGAAGTTTCTGGTAGGCAAGAATTTCGCACAGAGGGCTCTTACTCCTTTGTTTTCGAGGTATGTTAGTTTCGATTTCATAGCCTCATAAATTCTTCCTTCTTACCTTTCGGCCTTGTTCATCTTATTAAGTAATATTAATGTATTTGTTGTTCAATGGATCAATAGGAGTACAACTGTTCCGTGGAGTTCTTTCAATCACGGTTTCTAGTTCAAGAATGGGAGATGCCGGAACCAAGTGGATCAAAGAAGGAAACGCTTCGCATTGATTTGATTGAGAGATCCTCTGACAACTACAAAAATGCAGATGTTCTCATCTTCAACACAGGTCACTGGTGGACTCATGAGAAAACTTCCAGCGGGTAATTCTCCTGCTCACTCTACGTCATGGATTTTTTGGAAAGTAGTCACTACGCAGCGAAGTTAAAATATTTATAAATCTTGCAGGAAGGGTTACTATCAAGAGGGTAGCCATATTTATGGTGAACTGAATGTTGACGATGCATTTCGCAAGGCTTTAACGACATGGGCTCAATGGATAGACACCAATGTAAATCCTAAGAAAACTGCTGTTTTCTTCCGGGGCTATTCACCTTCTCACTTTAGGTACATTTTGAAGACATGAAATACTTCAACTTGGTTAACAAATGTATTGCATCTTGCTAATCTTTTTACTCACAGAGGCGGAGCATGGAATTCTGGAGGGCATTGCCATGGCGAAACAAAGCCAACTACCAGCTTGGAATCCACGGAATATGGAGGAGAGTATCCAACAAACATGAAAATCTTTGACTCGGTACTCAAGGGGATGAAGACGCCAGTCAACTATCTGAACATTACAACAATGACTGATTTTCGGAAGGATGCTCATCCATCGATTTACAGAAAGCCGAATTTAACTGAGGAGGAGCGAAAACGGCCTATGATCCAGGATTGCAGTCACTGGTGCCTCCCTGGCGTTCCTGATACATGGAACGAGCTTATATATGCTCAACTCCTCAAACATAACCAGAAACAGCATAGACAGAAGAAACAGCAAAATCAGAGGACAACTTCTTAAATATGGAGAAAAAAAATTATATAGTATACATGTTTTGTTGGAAAGCTCACCGTATGGAGAATATCGAACAAGTATGCTCAAACGAAGGATAAGAGCAATAGTTGTAGACTTGTAGTTAGGCAAAGAGGTGGGGCAATGTGGTCTAGTGAAAAATTGTGTTTCCAGTTGTGGGATAGAGGTGGTGAGGGAAACAGGATTTAGCCCTTGCGTCCTCTCTGGTGCATTTGAAGGAGAGGCTTGAAAAATCGGTGACTCGAAACAGTGAGTGCCGGTGATCATGGTGGTCGCAGAAGCTGGTTTTCGTATTGAGAAGGTCATGAATATAAAATTCTGGTATAGTACTGGTTTAACGCCACAATGTGCAGTTGTGGTTGCAACTTTAAGAGCCTTAAAATGCCTGCATGACTGAGACTGTGGCTCTGGCTGAAGCCGGTTACATGAAATTTTCCAGGCATGTCTCAAACACGAAACACTAGAGTGTAAGCGTGGTTGTTACTGCAAACAAATTTTCGATTGATAGTGAAGCAGAACTAAATGCAGTCAGAAATATGCAGCATTGTGCAGCCGGGGCATGTCAGCACTTAATTATACTCATCATGCACTTTGTGGAGAAGCGGTTAGTCACTTCATCCCATTAGTCTTATTATTGGCTAAAGGAATTGGACATCAATTTCTTGTATCAGAAGAAATGAGTCACTATTAATATCGACACATATGAGATCGCCAGCCCTTCGGGAGTTCCTCTATTTTCTTCTTGCTTGCATTGCAGATCCTACTAAAACTTTCAATCCCAGTTTTATATTGTGGTTGGAACAACGAGCACAATGCCGGATTTTCTGACTAGGCCTCGTGTCTATCACATTGATCTTGACACCACCTATCGGAAATTAGGTTATCAGTCTTGCTTGAAAATCAATGTATATGTTTGTGGTGGAATTTTCCCGTGGGGGATGTTTCCTGTCCGACGAGCACACAGCTCCCCGAGAGGTTTGGCGTCGGTTGAGGGCTGCTGTCGGGTTTCTGTTTCACTGTCGGGCAAGTCTCGTCGGGCAAGTCTCGTCGGGCAAGTCTCGTCGGGCCAGGCTGAAAGAGAAGGACAAAGTTAACTTTGAGAGGTGCCTTTGTAAGGCCTTAGGTGTAGGCCTTGAGGCTCACAATCAAGGTTAGCTTTTAGGTGCTCAGGCGTGCCACTGCCATCTTCAGTATGGCAGATGTAAAATGGATGTCGAGTTTTAGTTGTATATATGTATAGTATATATCCAAGAAACCGTGTTAGTTATAACAGGGTGCCTTTGTGGGGCCTTAGGTGTAGGCCTTGAGGCTTCCCATAAATAACTAAACCAGTGCTTGCACACATAATATTTATTCTCGTGATTGTAGGAGCTTTATAACTATTATATTTCTGATTACCCGAATCTGAGAGGTAGAACGAACCCAAATAGGTGCCTTTGTGGGGCCTTAGGTGTAGGCCTTAAGGCTTCCCATCAGAATTCATTCTTATACTCAGACTCTAGATCGTAGAACGGAATGAATCCAAATGGGTGCCTTTGTGGGGCCTTAGGTGTAGGCCTTGAGGCTTCCCATCATAATTCGTTCCATGGTCTAACGTTCTACGATAATCATGATATAATAGAAACAAAACTAAAGGTTAGGTCGATTACTTGTGCCCCAAGTAACTTCGGACTTCTCGTTTATCAAGGACTGTCGTGGATGGGTTAAGTCCACATAAGGCTCTTTTTTATGCCTTGAGGCCAAGGACTTTTAACTGATCAGATTTACATGCTCGAGGGCTTAGAACTTGGATTTGGTTTGAACACTGAAGATATATTCAAATCGGATCCAAGTACTGAGAAAGCCTTTTAATAATCATTTTGCTAGAAACAACTTGAATATAACTGGAAGTATACAACATATTTCTAGGCTAATGAATGAAAAGACACAAAACAAAGAAGGTCGGGCAACATTTAACCTTATCGGGTAAGGCTGCTCGTCCTTCTGGTTCCTATCTTTGTGGTTTAAGGGTCTGTATCTTTGTGGTTTAAGGGTCTGAAAGCTTTAGAGAGAGAGAAAGAGAGAGTTTTACAAGAAATGAATCGATACTACAGCAAGGTTGAACAGGGTAGCAGAGCTATAACAGAGGTTTAAGAGAAGGTTTATCCCGAGAGAGATGAAGGCTTGGGCTGACTACAGCTTCGTTTTGAAGGCAAATCTGGCTTTGAGCAGAGTTTGTGCTTGCATTTGTTTGTTTGATTGAGTGTCCTCATTCCTGGTTTTTCCTTCTCCTTATATAGGCAACTCGGCTTGGCATTCTGTAGCAGCAGCTTTGCCCGAATGCGGTTTGAGGGTGATGACTCATCAGTTATTTTACATGTAATGCCACCATAAAGTACTTTATGGGCTGTGTAGCTGTTCAGTCTACACCACTTGGCCTTTGGGTAGGTAAGCAAGTGGTCTTTATGAGTTGTACCAAGTCAGGAAAGGCCTTGTCTGTTTTTCTGAATTTCGGCTGGGCTTCGGCTTCAGGCCCTTTTTTGGGCCAACCTCTTTCTTGAGCCCAAAGTTCAAGTTTTGATCCAAACAGTGCCCCCTTCAATTGATATTTAGCCTGGAATTCCAGGCGCCAATATTAATTGAAAAAGCTCTGTATTAAAACCCACAAATTCCTTGCGTTTGAACTCTCTAATCCCCTGTGTTCCTAGCAAGAAATTCCTCCGTAATTTTTAGAAATCTCCTAATCATCCCAGCCATTTTCTTCCTTTAAATTTTTCAGACTTTTCTTACTTTGTTGCTTGATAAGGTTTTTACCTTCATCAATTTCTTTGGTATCCCCTTTCTTGAACAACTGCATCAAATGGCTTCAGGATCTGGCCAAACCCAACCCTTCTATAAATCTGGCGAAGGAATCGCCACTCTACGTCGTCTACTCAACGGGCTACATCGCCCTCGGGCAGGTTTGCATTCCGAGCTATTCTTTGAGTCGCATGGGGCACAATTATTGGGTCCCGCCTGGATTTCTCGGGTCCCTTCAGTGGTCGAAAGCAATATGCCCAGGGATAATTGGTTTTCCCCAAATCCCTATTCAACTAGGTTGGGCATCTCTTCATCCAAATGGTCATCATACCGACGAGGCTTTCCTCTGATGAATGACCCTGCTTGGGGTCAGTGGATTGACGAATTAGAGCCTATCTTTAAGAAGAAATGGATGGATAATGGTATCTATGAATTACTCATGCTCTCGAAGATTTCCATAATTCCTAAGCCTGAATTGCTTACTTCTGCCCTCCTCTTCTGGAATTCGGGCACGAATACCTTTGACTTCCGTATGGGCCTCATGTCTCCAACCATTCTTGATATGGCCCAGGTCTTTGGATTAAGGCCCTCGGGCAGGATAGTGGATGTCACCCAAGACTGGGCTCTTCCTTTAACTGCTGAAGGCTCGAGTTCCTCCTCATTTGTCCTCTCCCTGGAATATAACTCTGCAACCTTCAAGAGTTATGGAACCTCTTTCAAGGGATTTATCCCTTTTATAAAGGAGAGCTTTAGGGCAGAGTCTTCTCATGCTGATAGAGATCAAGAACACATGTACTTTCTTCTGTACTGGCTAAACAAGCACATTTTCCCCAACAAGTCAAAAGGAGTGAGGGTCGAATGGATCCCCTTAGTAGAAGCTCTCTATAATTTTGATGATATAGCTACAGGTCCGTTTCTCCTTTCCCATCTTTATCATCTCCTCTTCGAAATGACTCAAGACGAGCCATTTGAGACCAACCTGAATGGGCCAATCTGGATGATACAAACCTGGCTCTAATGGTACTTTTTGGCTGCAAATTTGGAGTTTTCGGAGGGTGTGGCCCCTGCCCAAATCTTGGCTGAAGCTGTCCCTGTAGACCATTCCACCTTTGCCTGCTTCTATTTCTTTAGAGTTTGTAGGACTCGATCAGATTTAGAATGGGGTGCATCGGTCTTGAGGAGATATCCTTGGTTCTCTGACCAAGTCTTCCAAGATGCCCCTGGTGAGGATGCTACCCCCTTTTGTAGGGAAAAATTTATTAGCTGCATTCAACCGAGAGACTTGGCCTGGGGAGTTCGAGGTAATAGATATGATCGAGGCTTGGAAGTGTACCATCCTAACTTCTGCAGCAGGCAGTTAGGATTTAGGCAAGCCATACCTGTCCCATTCTTCGACTCTGTCCATTGTGGCACCTCATTCCGGTTACCAACTCCACCTGAAGTGACATTCCGAGCCGTCCGACGCAGTCTTGATGTAATGAATCAAGCAGCCCGAAATTCCATCATTCTCAATTTTGAATGTATTTCGCTTTTTTCTTCTTGGTGGGAGGACAAATGGACTAGGAAGTATGGAGGAGATTTGAAAGAGACTCACGATCGCATCTTCAACCAGCTTTCTCTTAAATCATATCCTGGCTCGGGCGAGCTTGAAAATTGGAAGGAGATGATCCAAGAGAAAAACCGGTCACTTCTGATAGGTACTTCTCTTTCAATCTGATTTTGTTTTTTCTCTGATGTCCATCTTCCCTTACTTTTGCTTGATTCTGCAGCTCCAGTGGATATTGACTCGGAAGCCATTGAATCAGAGAATGACTCCGCTGATGCTGCAGTTCTTCATGGTGCTGCCGCAGAGGCTGATAGACGAGAAGCCGGGGAGGGGACGGACGTTTCAAGATCCATTGGGGATTCAGGAGCTGAAAAAACGCTCAAGGCAATCACTAAAGCCCCCAAGCGAAAGAAAGCGGCCATGACTAAAACTTCAAATCCTGATCCTGCACCGCTTCGGACAACCCCACAACCAACTCTCACTAGAAAGAGTAAGAGGGCAAAGATTACTATTCCTCCTAAATCAACAGTCCCATCTGCTCCAGTTCCTGAGACAGGCAGAAAGAAGCAACAATCTTCAAGTGAGTTTCTATTTTAAACTGCTACCTTTCTCCTTTATCTAATTGTCTTTTCTATCGATCAACAGGACCTCAAGCATCTAAAAG